CACCATGATGCAACTAACGATTCGGATGGTGTGAATCATCCAATGACCGATTGAGGATACGTCACTATGGTTTCCATGCTGACATCCGATGCAACGAATCTGGCTGATGTTCGACTGACGCAAAACAGTTAACACATACCAACGATTCTGCCAGTCCATGTCTTGCAGCACGGCCACACGCTAACGATTGCCTGCTCTTCAAACTCGTTTCTGAATCGAAAGCTTTTGCTTCCTTTCTAGCGGGAGCTGTTGTAGTGACCATGATTGTACGAAGAAAAGAAGCAATCCACGAAGACGTTTTCCGTTCATATTTTCTTCACAATCATTTCTGACTCCAACTGTGATACTTCTTTAACTTCTGTTTTTGTTTTACCGAGCACGGTTTTCCGCTCAGACATATATATAAGCTGGGTCCTGTTCAAATCTGAGCACGGTTTTCCGCTCAGATGTATATATAAGTTGGGTCCTGTTAAAACCCACACAACACGTTTGACACGCTTTCGCTTTGCTATTGAATTTATTGCTTGCATTGTTTAGCGTCGCCTCGGCACGTATTCGGTACTATCTAGTACCACGATTCGCCATCAAACGTTTACGACTCCCACGAGTGTTTTTGTCTACCTCGGGCAATGAGACAGCAGGAGGTCGCGCGTAATTTGAGATTCGTAAGAAAACTTATCGGCAGGCCGTCACCGCCTGTTAGCCTCAGAAATACAGTTATTGAGGTATGGACACAGAATATAATATGAGGTAAAGGAAGGCATCTTCCGATAACAACTTTGCAGGCCGTAGTTATGCTAGCCGCTAGCGAGGTTGATTGCAACAATGATGCAGAAGACGCAGCATTCTGGTGTTCCAAGATAAGTTGGAAACGAAGAGTGAAAACCTATCTACAAGAGAGTGTGCCCGAAGTAACGTAGAGACGCGAGAGGACGACCCACACATAGACATGATAGCCTTTATGGCTTAGAACTCCCGCGGCCGGAACTCATTTCTTTCGATGGAAACGCTACAGAATATTGGCGATTCAAACGGCAGTTCGACAGCTTTTTTGCTAGACCTTTCTTTGGAGAACGTAGAAATTTGGCTTATCTGTTACACTACTGTAAGAGAGTAGCTAGAGAGGCAATAGAACCCTGCATGCTAATAGCAGAGGAAGATGGGTATCATAAGGCCAGGGAGATACTTGATAAATTGTATCATCGGATGCATGAAGCAGTCAGGGCTGTAGTAAAAGAAGTTCTGGATAAGATAGCAGACTTAAGTGGGACAGACAAGGGTCTGAGTAAGCTTACCATTCATTTGCAAAGCTGCTACACGGTTCCAACGGAAATGGGATGTAAATCCGAATTGGATTCCATACCCGCGCTGGAGTCATTAGTTACCCGACTTCCCAGACGCTTACAACATACGTGGCCTGAAGTGGCGGA